CTACAAGCATGAGCCATCGTGCCCAGCCACATCTTAAATATTTCTTAAATTTATCCCCTCTTCTCCATTTACAATACTACAAACCTAATTTGGAACCCTATGACAGGCTTAGACTACTATAATGGCCTTCTAAATTTTCTCCTTAATTCAAGTCTAGCCTTCTTTACAGCCACTTGCCATGGAGCCACCAAAATCATGTAATTTAGGCCATGTCATTCACTTGCTTAGAAGTATTTCATGGTGGGCCACCCAGACACTGTACAGCTCTGGATGTTTTCTATTGTGAGATGTACAGAGCCACCTGTGAAATGTTCTCATCAAAAACATTTGAGTGTGAACCTAATGAAGCCTTTAGATCTAAATTATTTTTTCTTTTTTTTCCTGCTTAAACAGATCTAAATTTTAATTTATAGAAAATGTAGGGGACAGAAAAAAAAAAAAGACGTAGGGGGCAGAAGAACAAACTAAATTATACCATGAGAAACCAGCCAACTCTAAAAGACATACTACAGGCCAGTTACCCTTTTTTTTCAGTGAGTGAATGGCATAACACAAAGTGTGTTGGCGGAGAGAGAGTATCTTCACTTAAGAGAAATAATTATCAAATTTGATGAATCTTGTTTGGATCCTGACCTTAACAAACTAATTGCAGCATACACATAAAGCTAATTTCAGACAATTAAGGGAACTGTTCAGTTGATATGAGATATCAGACACTTAACATTTCAATGTTAGTTTTGTTAGTGGTGATAAAGTTAAGTGCTATATAAGAAAAAAAGTTTTTATGGGTAAAATGACATGCTGTCAGGGATTTGGGTTTGCTTGAAAATACTATAGCAGTTTAAAAACAAGAAAGAAATGGACAGCCGGGTGTGGTACCTCACGCCTGTAATCCCAGCACTTCGGGAAGCCAAGGTAGGCGGATAATCTGAGGTCAGGAGTTTGAGCCTGGACTGGCCCACCATGGTCAACATGGTGATACCCTGTCTCTACTAAAAATCCAAAAATTAGCTGGGCATGGTGGTGGGTGCCTGTAATCACACTTACATGGAAGGCTGAGGCAGGAGAATCGCTTACACATGGGAGGTGGAGGTTGCAGTGAGCTGAGGCATTCCAGCTTGGGCGACAGAGGGAGACTATGGAAAAAAAACAAAAAGAGAGAGGGAGAGATTGGGAGGGAGGGAGGATCACTCCAGCTCACAAGGTCAAGGCTGAGGTGAGCTGTGACTGTGTCACTGCACACCAGCCTGGATGACAGGGTAAGACCCTGTTACAAGGGGGGAAAAAGTTTTGACATTTGGCAGAATTCTGTGGCTCTTTGGTCTCAGTGGGGCTATATGATAAGAAAAGGCAAGCAGAAGCCCCTAGAACGCCCTGTCTCTAAAAACACACCCAGATTCCTGTGGGCATCTTCAAGATTGGCCCCCCCACCAAAGACTTCTAAGATGCAGAGGTGATGATTCTCTCACATCTCTTTTTACTTCTCATTTGGCTCATACAGAAAAATGGCTCTTGGAGGACAGTGTACTACTCTAAGCCTCAACAGGTGCTGACTAAATGCAGCAGCGGTTCCAGATGTCATTTCTCACCAGAGCAAACAAACAGCCCCTGGCAACTGGTATGATGTGATTGATTTGGAAAATGCTTTTACTCTCTGTTCAATAATCAGAGAACACCAGCAGCTAGTGAGGACCTTGATTATCTGTCGTCCAATAGGATAACATAATGTTCTACCATTTGAAGGACATGCAGATAGAACCTGGTGAACAGAAAGTAGCAGGGATAGTAGGATGTATGTAACATGTAACATGCTACATGAATGCCAGAAGGTGAGAGAAATCCCTTGAATGTAGGAATGTGTAATCTCTATACAATTCTGGCGGTCTAGAGATCAGGCATATGTATCATGACATCCCTTCCAAAGATAGGCTCACGATAGAAATATCCTCTAACACTAAGGGAGAAGCACAACATCTGGGAGGCTGTTTTTGATTTTTGGAATCGACATCTATCACATCTGAACGCTTTGCTCTTATCCATTTACTGCTGATCTAAAAGGCTTCCAGGTTTAAACAGGACCCAGTGGAGGGCCACATGTGGAAGACCAAGATGCTGAGTGGAACTGGTAGTAGGAACTGACAGGAGAATCAGAATGAAGGCTATGCTTTGTAAGTGATTCTCCTTCTAATAAACATCTCACAGCCTGCTACTGGGTCCTGGAGTAGTCCAGACGCCTGACTACAGGGCTGCATTCCTTCCTGGAAGACTGAGGAGAGATTGTTTGCTGCTCATTTGAGTTGTTTGCAGAAATCAGTTGAGGTTGTAGGACCAGGGTCTCTTATTTTCTTGGTGGCTGTCAGCTGAGAGTTGTTCCTAATTTCTACAGGCTGCCTCAATCCTTGGCTCATGGCCCCCTTCATCCACCTCCAAAGCCAGCAACAGGAGGTCATGTCCTTCTCATGCTTGTCTGACTCTTTGCTCTATACTAAGAGCTCTCCGATTTTTTTTTTTTTTTTTTTTTTTTTTTAGACAGAGTCTTGCTCTGTTGCCAGGCGCCAGGCTGGAGTGCAGTGGCACGATCTCTGCTCACTGCAACCTCTGCCTCCTGGGTTCAAGCAATTCTCCTGCCTCAGCCTCCCGGGTAGCTGGGACTACAGGCACACGCCACCATGCCCAGCTGATTTTTTTTGTATTTTTAGTAGAGACGGGGTTTCACCATGTTGGCCAGGATGGTCTCAATCTCTTGATCCGCTCCCCCTCGGCCTCCCAAAGTGCTGGGATTACAGGCTTGAGCCACCACACCTGGCCAGGGCTCTTCGATTTTAAGGATTCGTAATTAGATTGGGTCTACTCAGATAATCCAGATAACCTCTCTGTCTCAAGGTCCTACAACCAAGGGCAAGTTACATGGGCCTCATCTGTAAGATGAAGATAATGATACCTACCTGTACTGCATACTTGGGAGACTGTTTATTACCCCAAATTGCCATTGCCCACTTCATTTTCTGAGGACCAAACCCCTTCCATATCCTTCATATTTAAACTGAACATAAAGTCACCCAACTACAGGCTACATATGGTGCTTGCCTTGCCTATGTGACAGTTAAGACCAATGGGGTATAAGCAAAAGTGAGATATATATAATTCCTGCATCACTTACAACATCAAGAAAAGCCGCCTTCCTAGCAGCTTGTCTACTTCCCACTTCCTTTGGGTTTGAGTGTAAATGTGGCCACAGTCTAGTTATAATCATGCAGATGAGAACACCACCTTCAGGGAAGGGTGAAGCAGTTAGATAATCTCTTTTTTTTTTTTTTTTTTTTCAGACAGTCTCACTTTGTCTCCCAGGCTAGACTGCAGTGGCAAGATCTCAGCTCATTGCAGCCTCGACCTCCTAGGTTCGAGTGATTCTGCCACCTTGGCCCTCCAAGTAGCTGGAACTACAAATGTGTGCCCACCACTCCTGGATAACATTTTTTATTTTTTTTATTTTTTTATTTTTGTAGAGATGAGGTTTCGCCATGTTGTCCAGGCTGGTCTCAAACTTGTGAGCTCAAGTGATCTGCCTGCCTTGGCCTCCCAAAATGCCAGGATTACAGGCATGAGCTACCACGCTAGGCTGTGAGACAATCTCTGAATAACTTAAGGAGATAGATATGCTCCCTAAGCTGAGTGGCAAGGCTAGGCTGTCGAGAGAGAGAGAGAGAGAGAAGGAAACTTCAGTATTGCTTCAATCATTGCATGTTTCCTTTTTCTTTTTTGAGACGGAATTTTCACTCTTCTTGTCCATGCTGGAGTGCAGTGGCACGATCTGGGCTCACTACAACCTCTGCCTCTGGGATTCAAGTACTTCTCCTGCCTCAACCTCCTGAGTAGCTGGAATTATAGGCATGCGCCACCACACCCAGCTAATTTTTTTTTTTTTTTTTTTTTTTTGGAGATAGAGTCTCGCTGTGTCGCCAGGCGCTAGGCTGGAGTACAGTGGTGTGATCTTGGCTCACTGCAACCTCCGTCTCCCAGGTTCAAGCAATTCTCCTGCCTCAGCCTCCCGGGTAGCTGGGACTACAGGTACACACCACCAGACCCAGCTAATTTTTTTTTTTTTTTTTTTTTTTTTTTTGAGACGGAGTTTCGCTCTTGTTACCCAGGCTGGAGTGCAATGGCGCGATCTCGGCTCACCGCAACCTCCGCCTCCTGGGTTCAGGCAATTCTCCTGCCTCAGCCTCCTGAGTAGCTGGGATTACAGGCACACGCCACCATGCCCAGCTGAATTTTTGTATTTTTAGTAGAGACGGGGTTTCACCATGTTGACCAGGATGGTCTCGATCTCTTGACCTCGTGATCCACCCGCCTCGGCCTCCCAAAGTGCTGGGATTACAGGCTTGAGCCACCGCGCCCGGCCTGTATTTTTTTTTTAGTAGAGATGGGGTTTCAACATGTTGGCCAGGATGGTCTCGAGCTCTTAACCTCGTGATCTGCCCTACCTCGGCCTCCCAAAGTGCTGGGATTACAGGTGTGAGCCACTGCACCTGGCCTGCATTTTAGTAAGTGTGTATTTGTAACGTGCTAAGCCACATAGAGAGTACTATACAAGTAACAGTTATTGTTACAGACGTAGCATTTTGTATTCTGGAGATGGGCAACTCTACTTGTCTTAAGCCAACAGTATCCATTAACACAGACATAAGCAACACTAGTGTAGTCTAAGCTAATTAAAACATGTCACTTGCTTATTTAGAGACAGTAAGGAAAAAGGACTATCACTTATTGAATTCACATGTGCCAGGCATTTATATGTTAATTTGTCTTCCAAAATAACGCCACGAGGCCGCAGAAATGAAGAAACAGAGGCTCAGGGGTTAGGTCACTTCCCCAAGATCACTCTAGATTGGGGTGGCTCGAGCGTGTTCTTCCAACAACACTATGCCCTCTCTGCCAAAAGGCAGGTCAATGGGGAAGTTGAGAATCAGCCCATAGCCCCTCTGAATTCTGTTACTCACATAGAGGTACGGTACTTGATGTCATCTTTTTCAGCCAGCTCTTCACAGGTGAGGCCATTATGTTCTTTCCAGAGTCCCTGACACTTCCTACAGGTTTCCTGGGGATAAAGGACAGACACAAAAACAACTCCTGGTGAGTGTACACCACAGAAGTTCCTGTTCAACAAAAGGGATGTGAAATGAGCTTTACTTGGCTTGAATTCTCAGAGGATGCCTCTCCTTTTCAGGGGGGATATTTCTAAAGACATCTTTAAATAGAAGAGGTATTCGGCAGGGTTCAGTGTTTCACGCCTGTAATACCAGCACTTTGGGAGGCTGAGGGAGGCCAGGAGTTTGAGATCAGCCTGGGAAACACAGTGAGATCCTGTCCCTTAAAAAAAAAATTAGAGTGGGGAGAGGAGGAGGGTGGTAAGAATCATTAGAAGGATGTAGAAGGAAAAATTTATCTCCCTAGATTAAAAAAAAAGTGTTGCTCCCATCACTTAATTTGCATAAAACTTTCTAAAATGCTCTGGGCCACCTGAAAAAAACCAAAGGGGGCAGATCTTGGGTTTTTAAAATACAGTAGCACGAGCTGCTTGGCAGGGCCTGTCTGGATCTTGTTAATTTCTGCAAAATCCCTGTTCCCATACTCTGGTGTCCAAAACACGCTTCGGTTGGATTGAAGAATGATCTAGTTCAGTTCACCAGGGGCTCCTAAGAAAGACTTTCCTCTGCTGACCATCACTCATCAGCATGGATGTCACCCTTAAAAGTTTCACTTCATATATAAACATGCATCTTAAATAATCACCACCTTTATTCTAGGATTCTTCATAGTTTATGAAATGGTTTCATATGTACCTGAAAGTATCTCACATCAATAATAAAAAATTATTAATCCAATGATCACAGATATTAAGTGGAAATTATAATCCTAACAAGTTATAGTGAAGGAAAACATAGTGTTGTCGGTTTTAAGTGGGGTAGAGGGGGACTTGACCTAGTCTGGGGAGACAGTGAAGGCCTGAGGACGTGAAGCCTGGATCCAAAAGACGAGTCAACAGTAACTAGATGGGGCGGTTAAAAGAGATCAACACTCCAGACAATGGACAACAAGAGAAGACTCTGGCAGGCAAAGTCGGGCATGTTTAGTTCCTGTGGCTGAACTGCACACAGTGAGAATGGCTCTGGAGGTTCTGCAAGCACCAGATTCAGGCAAAGCCTTGAGGGGCATGACGAGCAGTTTGCTCTTTATTCTATGAGCACTTGAAAGCCACCAAAAGCTGCCAAGTAAGGAAGTAGTATGATCAGATATGTCTTAAAAAAAAAAAAAATTCAGGGTGGAAAACACTGGAGGGGGGAAAGAGTGGATGTGCAAAAAGCAGGAGCGAGTACAGCCACTCAGGAGAGAGGCCAAGAGGCCCAGGCCAGGGTAATGGTGGGCAAGGACAGGAAGAAAAGGGGACTGACTTGAGAAAATGGGAGGAAGACTGGTGGGTGTGGAGATGAGCCGCTGCGCCTGGCCCTTTCGTATGTTCTGAATTTTGTACTATATGGTGTACTATCTAATAAAAAAAATTAAAAAGGATGAAAAATGGAATAGACTGCCGAGGAAGCTGTGAACCTGACCCTTCCGGTGGGATGTTGTAAAAAGACTCAATCAGGCTGGGCATGGTGGCTCATACCTATAATCCCACACTTTGGGAGGCCAAGGCAAGCAAATCACTTGAGGTCAGAAGTTTGAGACCAGCTTGGCCAAACCCCATATCTATTAAAAATACAAAAATTAGCTGGGCATAGTGGCTGGTGCCATAATCCCAGCTACTTGGGAGGCTGAGACAGGAGAATTGCTTGAACTTGGGAGGTGGAGGTTGCAGTGGGTAGAGATCGTACCATTGCATTTCAGCCTGAGTGACAGAGTTAGATTCTGTCTCAAAAATAAAATAATAAAAAAAAAAAGGCTCAATCAATGGGCTGGGGTGGGTGCAGCAGACAGAAGCTGATGGAACATACTACATTTAAATGTCACTATTTCTTAGGGATGCGGATGTGCTCTGGTCCCCCACCTACATCCCATTCAGTAAACAAAGGTGACATTACTAATGTGCCTATTACCCACCAAAACATATAGCAGCACAAACTCAAAATTTTTATAAGACCTTGTGCCTGACTATTGTAGGAAGCTGGAGGATAAACAACAGCTGGAGAATAGATGAGCTGGTGTTTGGATCCTAACCTTGGAAACAATGCCAACCCAGCCCCTCCAGGAGTTAACAGCTTGAAAACAATACATGGCATTTAGACAGTTTTAGCATTCCTGACAATTCTGTTATTAATTCATGGGTCTTCTTCATAAGGGAAGAAACCCCACTTCTGAAGTAAGGCACAGGCCCACAAGGGCAAAAGGAACTGGCCAAGCTGGAGCCACCTGTGTGTGAGAGCCACTGTAAGGTCCTCTGCTCACTCTCTCCATCACAGTGCTTCTTTTGCAGGTGAATGTGTGGGTTTTCAGCCAGGGCACTTCTTACTGAAGGGCCCAAGGGCCCCAGAGAACATATCTGAAATGTCTTTTGAAAAGACTTATGTAGCTAGATACGAAACCCATAATTAAAATAAGGCAAGCAAACAGCTGGCTGGGGGAGTTGAAGATTCAGAGCTCTCTCTGTGTAGTGTCTTTAAAACGTACCCTCTCTTCTAAATAGTGTACATTTCACTAAATTGTAATTCTCTACCCTCAGGCACAGCTAGGCTTTGCTCCTAAACTCAACAAATGCTTACATATATTAGGAGGAAATGCTCTTGAATGTTTTAAGGTTGTTTTTCTTTTCTTTTTTGTTTTTGACACAGGGTCTTACTCTGTCACCCAGGCTGTAGTGAGATCTTGGCTCACTGCAACCTCTGCCTCCTGGGCTCAGGTGATCTCCCACCTTGGCCTCCTGAGTAGCTGGGACTACCGGTGCCTATAGTCCCAGCACTTTGGGAGGCCAAGGTGGGTAGATCACCTCAGGGTGAGTTGGAGACCAGCCTGGGCAATATGGTGAAACCTCTTCTTTACTAAAAATACAAAAATCAGCCAGGTATGGTGGTGCATGCCTGTAATCCCCGCTATTTGGGAATCTGAGACAGGAGAATTGCTTGAACCCAAGAGGCAGAGATTGCAGTGAGCCGAGATTGTGCCACTGCACTCCAGTCTGGGTGACAAGAGCAAGATTCAGTCTCAAACAAAAAAATATACAAACAAAAAATAAAAATAAACTGCTGGGATTACAGGCGTGAGCCATGGTGCCCAGCCTCTTGCATGTTTAACATGATAACCACATTCTTCAATCTGTGGTTTACAAGAAAGCCCCAAAGGACCATTTTGGAAGGCTAAGTACACTTTGGCAAGTAACCTCAAAACACAAAGAATAGTGTACCGTGGCTATCAAGTGGGACCACACTTTTTATCACCTCGTGCCTTTCTGATCAGGGGGGAACCTGCGGAGTTCACCATCATCCCAAATACAAGGCAGGCAGCTCTCGCCCTCTCAGTGGAAAAGGAACATGTGTGCTGGGTAGTCTGTTAACAAGCAGCCATCAGGCCACGTTCTTCATGTCATCAGGGAGGTTGCTGGTTAAATTTACGATGCCCTTTCGTCCTCGAAATACATCAAGGTGTTTTGATTATTCATGAGGTCTTCTTCACTGTGCAATATAAAGAAAACACTTTGGGCCAGGTATGGTGGCTCACACGTGTAATTCCAGCACTTTGGGAGGCCAAAATGGGTGGATCACGAGGTCAGGAGATCAAGAACATCCTGGCCAACATGGTGAAATCGTGTCTCTACTAAAAATGCAAAAAAATTAGCTGGGTGTGGTGGTGCCCGCCTGTAATCCCAGCTACTCTGGAGGCTGAGGCAGGAGAATCACTTGAACCCAGGAGGTGGAGGTTGCAGTGAGCTGAGATCACACCACTGCACTCCAGCCTGGGAATAGAGCAAGACTCTATCTAAAATAAAATAAAACACTTCAATCTTCCTTTATCCATTTTCTGCTGCCTAAATAATTATTAATGAATAGAGTAGAAGATTAAATTCAATTGTAGTTGACCCTATCAGGGAGCTGCAATTTCTTCACATAAACGTAGCTTTCTCAAGAACCAGTAGACAAATGTATCCAGCCATCACCTCCTTCAAGTCTAGCAAGTGACAATAAATCTTGAAACTTCTGGGTTTGTTGGCAAATAATCCGAAAGAAGGTCTGAGCCCACAGCCCAAGTCATCGGGTTCTGCTTTCGTTTCCTTGCCTTCCTTACAAACAGGAAGGCGTCTGTCCCAATGCATGCTAGATTTCAGTTGCTGACTTCCACCCAGCCTTGTCTCAGAAGCAGAACACAGTACAAACTGCTCCCTTACTTCTGAATGGTTCCTCCAGTGAAACCTGTCAACTCATTCTCTAGGGGAGAGAAGTCACTGACATGCCACAGGGCTTAAGAAGGCTGTGAACAATCCAGAAGTAGCTTCAGAAATTTCAGCTCTCTGTTCAGTCACCTCAAAAAATGGTGATACTTCATCCCCAGCACTCTTCAGGTAAAAGGCCCGGGTACCTGACTGTTCACAAATGCTTAGTCAGGGACCACAGGACTGTGGGCTTCCAGGCCATCTGTGTCTTCCAGTTGTCAAAGATGCTGGTCCTCCCCAACCCTAGGCCCAAATGACATACAGAAGGTCCAGAAAGACGGATTTTAAGATGGAACCCCTTAAATCTAAGGAGTTTACACTGGAACCCCTGCCAATCAATAAAGCTCAGCAAAATAAAAGCACAAGGCACATTCAGTGGACTTTCTTTCCTTTCACTAAGGGAATCCAAGAATCTCTATTTTTCCTAGGTCAAGAATGCACTTATCAGCCAAGTAAGGCTTGCTCTTCGCCCTCAAGGAGCGCATTCTACTGAGGGAGTTACGCACTGGAGCAAATAAAGTACAGCACAATGGAGTTCAGTACACACACGCACGCACGCACGCACGCACACACAGTGGGGGAGAATACATACATGTGCATGCAGAGGAGAAAGGGGTGAGTCAGACAAGGAATCTTTGAGGAGTTGACATCTTCATGGAACTGACTACATTAAGTACCATGAGTAATCAGACTCCATGCAACCAATAAAGTGCTTCTCCTACCGGGATCTACATCTTTGTGAAAAGCGTTTTCAGCAATGACAGCCATTAAAACCAAGTATCTGAACCTCAGAACCAGATGCTAAAACCAAACACTGGAATAATGAAACAGTGTTCAATAGATTCATATTTTATTAAGCATAAAAGGTTTTCACTTCATTAAATAAAATTATTTTGGGTGGCGTATGGCAGCACATGCCTTAGTCTCAGCACTCTAGAAGGCCATTATGGGCAGATCACTCGAGCTCAGGAGTTTGAGAACAGCCTGGGCAACATAGTGAGACCCCATCTCTACAAAAAATACAAAAATATAGCTGGGTGTGGTGGTGTGTGCCTGTAGTCTCAGCTACTTGGGAGGCTGAGGTGGGAGGAATTCTTGAGGCTGGGAGGTGAAGGCTGCAGTGAGCTATAATCACGCTACTGTCTCAAAAAAAAAAAAAAAAAAAGAAAAGGAAAAAAAGATTTTTTTTTCCTTTTCATAAGAATTTAGATTTCTGGAAAAAAAGTTTTTTAACGGACTTGAATTAAGTAGTATATTTTAAAGTATGATTTATTTCATTGCAGCCTTTTATATTTTCTGTATCTGTGTATGTTTTGCAATGTACATTACAACAGTAGCACACACGTAACCTACAAATAAACACATAGGCTGAGGGTGTTCTCTGCACAATTTTTCTGATATGGCAAGCATAAATAAAACTGTTCATCTGCCGCTCTCAATATTGAAAGGCCATGGAGGCCTGGATAGTGCAGCAATGTGTTGGGCTTATGCTTCAGAATACTTCGATTAATTAATAAGCTTGAGACCAAAGACAGGAAGATGGTTGAAGAGCAACTGGAAGAGTCTATGAAAGAGATGAGGGTGAGAGAGAAGCCTAGAAAGATTTTTAGGTTTCTGATGAGGGATGCTGGTGAGATTGGTGGAAACATGAACTTAGATCAAGTGATGCAGAATAAGATCTGAGTGAGGGTAGGGGGCAGAGGCGAATTTAGTTCCAGACCAGCTTACTTATTTACTCACTTATGTGCTCTTCCGATATTCTGCTGAATTTCTGTCATTTATATGACACACTGGAGATACAGCAATAAACAAGTTAGGCTCAGTTTTTACCTTTGTGATGCTTATGTTCTACTAAAAAACAAAGATATTAACTGAGACTGGGGGACCAAGAGAGCCTGTTGGATGTGACATTTAAGCTGAGCCCTAAAGGAGGAGTAAGTCAGGTATGGGTACAGAGGGAACAGCAAGGGTGAAGGCTTCAGGGCAGGAGAGGGCCTGTCTCTTGCTGAGAAAGTCAGTATGGCTGGAGCCCAGTTGAGGAGAGCTGAGAATGGTCTATGGTCACTCAGGAGGGCTGAGCCTATAGGCAGGAGTTTGGAAAGCCAGGCTCACCAGGTTGGAAAGGCAATCATCTGACTGACATTCCAAAAGATTCTTCTGGCTGCTGTTGTTGAATGGATGGTTTGCTGGGGTTGTAGGACCTTGCAGCACACTCTTTCAGAAAAACTAAGGCCAAGTAAGTAACTTCTAGGGAAACAAGCTCAGGGTTTGGATTTGATTCCTGGTTAGATTTCCTCAACAGTCTTCCACAAATAAGGGCACAGCTTACTTCCTGAACCAAGGTGTGCCAACACCAAGCCTGGCAGAAGCAGGTAAGGCTGACCTGCGATGGGGCAATAGCAGCATACCTATATTTTTTTGATAAGAATAAGAGGACTATATTTTCTGATACAGCTTTAGAAAGGGACTTTATTACTATTATTCTTAATATTTAAATTAAGTTAATTATTTTTTTTTAGAGACAAGGTCTTGCTCTGTTGCCCAGGCTGGAGTACAGTGGCGCTCTCAGAGCTCACTATAACCTTGACCTCTTGGGTTTAAGCAATTCTCATGCCTCTGCCTTCCGAGTAGCTGGGACTACGAACACGTGCCACTACAGCTAAATTTTGTTATTTTATTTGTACAGATGGGTCTTGCTATGTTTCCCAGACTGGTTTGAAACTTCCTCAAACTATCTGCCCATCATGGCCTCCCAAAGTGTTGGGATTATAAACGTGAGCCACAGAGCCCGGTCCTATTTTAATTTTAATGATTTGGCCGGGTGCGGTGGCTCACGCCTGTAATCCAAGCACTTTTGAGGCCAAGGTGGGCGGATCACCTGAGGTCGAGAGTTCAACACCAGCCTGACCAACATGGTGAAACCTCGTCTTAAAAAAAAAAAAAAAAAAAAAAAATTAATGTTATTAAGACAAGGTCTCACTCTGTCACCCAGGCTGGAGTGCTATGGCACAACCATGGCTCACTACAGTCGCGACCTCCATGGTTCAAGCAATCCTCCCCCCTCAGCCTCCCAAGTAGCTGGGACGACAGATGTGCACCACCATACCTGGCTAATTTTTTGTAGAGATGGGGACTCACCATGTTGCCCAGGCTGGTCTAGAACTCCTGCAGTCAAGTAATACACACAACTCGGCCTCCCAAAGTGCTGGGATTACAGGCATGAGCCACCAAAGCTGGCCTGAGGAACATCTTTAATAAGGATCTAAAACTCCTGCTTTTCACTGTATTAGCCCAATGTTCCTATAGGCTTATTTTATTTTTTTTTAATAGACAGAGACTTGCTTTGTCACCTAGGCTGGAGTGCAGTAGCATGATTCTGGGTTACTGCAACCTCCACATTCAGGGTTCGAGATTCTCGTGCCTCAGTCTCCCAAGTAGCTGGAATTACAGGCATGCACCATTATGCCCAGCTAATTTTTGTATTTTTAGTAGAGACAGGGTTTTGCCACATTGGCCAGGCTGGTCTCCAATTCCTGGCTTCAAGTGATCCGCCCGCCTCAGCATCCCAAAGTGCTGGGATCACAGGCGTGAACCACTATGCCTGGCCTCCACAGGCTGTTTTTAAAGACATGAGGTCTCATTCTGTTGCCCAGTCAGTGGCACCAGCATAGCTCATGGCAGTCTCCTCGGTAGCCTGTAATCATAGGTGGGCACCACCATACCCAGCTTGTAGGTTTAGGTTTTTTGTTAAATTCAGCTGGGGGTGGTGGCCCACACCTGTAATTCAGCACTTTGGGAGGCGGAGTAGGGTGGACCACTTGAGGTCAGGAATTTGAGACCAGCCTGACCAACACAGTGAAACCATGCCTCTACGAAAAATACAAAAATTAGCCAGGCATGGTGGTGCATGTCTATAATCCCAGCTACTTGGGAGGCTGAAGCTGCAGTGAGCTGAGATTGTGCCACTGCACTCCAGCCTCGGCGACACAGTAAGACTGTCTCAAACAAAACAAAACAAAGCAAAACAAACAAAAAACAGGTAAGAAAAAGAAGGCTCAGAGGGACCAATTAACTTGGTCAAGGTCATAGAGCTTTGGACGTGAGTCTGTTTGATCCCAAATCCACTTGTTCTTTCTACTCTATTCCCACTGCGTGCCCACATGGTGTCTGCTAGAAAGAGCAGGTCACTGTTTACTGGAGAACCCAAAGGCACGTGGCTATGAGACAAGCCGAGGTTACAATGGCATCTTATGTGAGGAGATCACAGAGGAACAATCAGCAAGGCTGGGTGTGAGCGTCAGCGCATCAAAGGCATGGCCGCGCAGCTGCAGCTGTGCAGGATGCCTGCTTGCCTGTGCTTCCTGGAGAGTTGGGAACAGCTCAGTAAGAGGCAGGATGGGATGGGATCAGACCTGAGGATACTCTTTCTTACTGGTAATGATAGGAACCTGCTAATCACAGTGATCTCAGACTGGCCATGTGTGAGGAAGTGGCTGTTCCTGCCACCTTTGGCCAGTTGCATGTCTGGCGGCATAGCAAAAGGAAGCCTATTTTTAGATATCCATTACTGGCTAAACAGAGACAGGATCCACGTTAAGTGTTCCATAGTCACTCCCTCAACCAGCCCCTGGACCTTATACACGCCACTTACCTCCTGCAAGGTGGCCAGGACCATGGCATTAAGATTTGCTAATGGCATTGCTTGAGATTATCACCATCACCAAAACTGCTCTGGGTCAGTTTTGTTCAGAGCAATGAAAATAATAGAGATAGTTTCTGCACTGAAAGGAATTAAGACATTCTCACGTTCCCACCCTTGCCACTTCTACATGTACAGCTGAGAGCCTTCCACAGTGCTATCCCTCTGCTGACAACAGATTTGGGTATAAAACGAAGCCCCTGTCCTCTCAGAGTCTACTCACAAACAGATAACTGTATACTCTGAGGATGATGATAAACACTCCAGAGGAAACTAAAGTTAGGTAAGGGGCAGGCAATGTGGACAGAAAAGGTATCATCTGACACTGGTTTGTCAGGGAAGGCCTGTGTGAAGCTGGCACTTCTGCTTGAAACTGAAGGCTATCCAGTAGAGGAGTGTTCCAGGTAGAGGGAACACAAGCGGGACAGTAGACGGAGCTGGGACAGGAGAAAGAGCTCAGAGAACCAGCTCGCCCTGAGCCAGTATCCCCACCCCCAGCCCTTATGCCCTCAACCACTCAACGCTCTGCCTAAGAATGTCCCTTCTTTGCTGACAACACCTACTCACCAGTTCTCCTTTCAAATACCAGTGGCTCTAGGAAACTCAAATGATGCGGGAAAAGCTGGCACTCGCTCCCTGGGCTCCTAGAGCACTTGGCTTATGCATTGTTACAGCACTTTTAATGGCATCTTGTAATTATCTAATTATATCACATCTTTTCCAGAAGCCAGGCGCTCCTTTCGGCAAAGATGATGTCCTGCTGGTCACGATGGACAAGTGGCATGGAGGGCTCAATTCATCCATTAAAGAAAAAGTTCACTTGAGGCAGTGGCTCACGCCTGTAATCTCAGCACTTTGGGAGGCTGAGGCGGGTGCATCAGGAGGTCAGGAGTTCAAGACCAGCCAGGCCAACATGGTGAAATTCTGTCTCTACTAAAAATACAAAAATTAGCCAGGCGTGGTCGTGTGTGCCTGTAGTCCCAGCTACTTGGAAGGCTGGGGCAGAAGACTCACTTGAACTCAGGAGGTAGAGGCTGCAGTGAGCCAGGATCACCCCACTGCACTCCAGCCTGGCAACAGAGCGAGACACCGTCTCAAAAACAAACAAAAAACCCAAAAACAACAAGTTCACTTTAGGGCCTTTTCCGTGCTGCATGGGGATGTGCTGGAGATGAAGCCAGGAGAATTCTTGGCCTAAAGAGGTTCGTAATCAACCACAGTATGTCTCAGGTATCTTTGGATTTCTAGGGTCTAGCTCCAGATTTGAGCAGCACAAGGTGCTGCACTGAATGTCCGAGGTGAAGGCTGGCAAGACAAAGCACATCTTCACAATGCAGAGTTACAAACATAGCCTCACCCAACTCCTGGGACTTTTTTGCACTTTACATGGGAAAAAAAAGCATATGAAGCCTTTTAGCATATCTACCTCCTCCCCAAAAGAACATTATTTCCTCCCTATTGGGTCTTATTTTTAATTATGCCAAGTACTTTATGAAAAACTAAACTTATTAACATATACGATCCTTTCCAGTTAATTCATTACAGCGTGAGCCTTAAGGATGCGAGTTATTGTGGTTCCTTGCTTTGCTCTCTAATGTCTTTTCCCAATTTAATGAGTTAAACTACAAACAGCAGTTATCACCAAGTGGCTAATGACCAAATGCCTGCAGATGCTGTGAGAAAGTACTGCATATATTTCAATTAGGATGTTCTCCGTTGATTTTCTCCTATAGTTTCAAGATGTGGAAGTTGATCTCTCTTCAATCAGGATAAAAAGGAGCTCACAAACAGTAGACCCTGAAAATGTGTGCCTGAGAGAACTTCCAGTTTAGAGGGGTCAGGACTGAAAATGTACAGTCTGCCTGGCTATGTCCCAGCCTGGCTCTCCCCAACCCCTCCCGGGGGTGTGGAAGGCCAGTTACCGCACAAGGGTAGGCTGCATGCTTCCCGCACTGGCCAGCATTCTCCTCTGCACTCCTTGGAACAAGACAGTCCAAACTGCCTGGGTTTAGTTCTTAAAGGACACACAAAATTCTTCTTCTTCTTTTTTTTTTTTTTTTTTTTGAGATGAAGTTTCACTCCTGTTGCCCAGGCTGGAGTGCAATGACGTGATCTCAGCTCACTGCAACCTCCCTCCGCCTCCTGGGATCAAGCAATTCTTTCTGCTCAAGTCTCTAGAGTAGCTGGGATTATAGGCACCCACCACCACACCCAGCTAATTTTTGTATTTTTTAGTAGAGACGGCATTTCACCATGTTGGCCAAGCTGGTCTTGAGCTCCTGACCTCAGGGGATCTGCCTGCCTTGGCCTCCCAAAGTGCTGCGATTAATAGGTGTGAGCCACCGCGCCCGGCAAGGACACACAAAATTCTACCATGAATTCTTTTAACAGTGTCTTGTAATGATCTGATTATATCACATCTCTCTAAGAAGCCAAGCTCTCCATGCAGGGGATTTCTGTCCTCAAAGTAGAGTAAATCATCTCTCAAAGGAAGGGGAACCTTTTAATTTCCAAATGCAGAAATTCAAATCTGGGTATGGCCAAGTGAGAGCTCTGGAAAATATTACAAAGCCTCCCCCACCCCACCCCCTAGTCCTAAGGAAAGGGCTTCTTTGGGGGAAGATTTCATGTTGTTCTTAAATATTTTTTTGGTTTTCATATACACCTCACCTACCATTTCTATCCACAGAAACAGGCTTTGTTGAAAAATGAAATCTTAAAGTCTTATTTCTGTGGATTAGAAAAGTTCTTTCCCTGAGCCACCAGGATTAGGTGACAAATTGGAATAGGTAAAGCTTTATATGTGGTTTCTGTGCTAATGCTGCCCCCTAGGGATGGAAACTTAAAAGGCACCGAGATAGCAGCTTGACTGCTCTGGGAGAGACCACACATAGCTGTCGGCTTTTTACTATACTATGGGGAACAGGGCTTCAAAGACAGAGTGGGAGGGTAAAGTCTTTCTGGAATAAATCAAAGTTCAATTTTACCTTTATCATAACTACAAACAAAACTACAAATACCCTTATATTAGTCAAATACAGATGACTGTTTCTCTCGAATGGCCGTTTAACAGAATCAATGAGGACTGTATCAGCAACACATAAGCAATGACAGAATGTGGACATTTATATAAAAATTCCAAGACCAATATGTGAGCTCCTACTAAGGACTCTCAGTCCTGCTCTGCGGTGGGGACACACGTTAAGTGAAATATATAGTAAGACATGATTTAAGTGCTAAGGAGAAAAAAATATAGGAAGGATGAACTGGGGTGGAGAGGGGGAAATAGTTCACAACTACAAACTGGTGGTCAGTGAAGGCCTCTTTGTAAAGGTGCATGTAAATGAAGACTTAAGAAAGGAAGGAAGGGAGCGAGTCTGGTGCTATCTGGGGGAAAGAATTCCAGGTAACGGGAACAGGGAGGAGCGAGGTGGGCAGAGCTGTAAGCAGGAGAGGAGGACTGGGTTTGCAGGCTGCCTGGGGCCTGGGAGGTGACAAGGGCTTTGGCCTGTGCCCAGAGTAAACAGATGCAGAAGAAAAGCCCCTGCAATGGCTTTGCATGAGGTTGATTCTCAAAGAACCCCAGCTCTAGACAGCCTTTTCACTGGGAGCTCTCAAGTCTCTGGGCTGTGCCTCTGACAGGTGCCGCTCCCGCCTTCCTACTGAGCTTCTCACAGCCTGGAAAGGGCAGGAGGGGAGGCTATGACTAAGGCCCTTCCAAAGGATTTGCTCCCCGTAGATGCTCCATACAATATAGGTTGTGGAACTAAAGTTACTACTATAGCAACGACTCTTTTTTTTTTTTTTTGAGACAGGGTCTCATTCTGTCACCCAGGCTGGGGTGCAGTCAGTAGTGTCATCATAGCTCACTGGGCTTAAGCCTGGGCTCAAGTGATCCTGCCACCTCAGTGCCCAGAGTAGCTGTGACCACAGGCGCATGCCACCATATCTGCCTAATTTTCTGTAGAGACCAGTTCTTGCTGTGTTGCCCAGTCTGGTCTCAAATTCCTGGGCTCAAAGGATGCACCCACCTCAGCCTCCCATATGCTGGGATTACAGTTGTGAGCCACTATGCCTGGCCAGCCATGACTTTTAAACTATAAACTGTGGCCCTTTGGTGGGTTGTAAAGTCATTTCAGTAGATTATGACTAGTGGTTTTTCAAGAAAACTAAAACAGAAAATACTAGAGCACATTCCATGTGTCAAGTATTTGTTTTATAAAATCACTTTCTGTTACACATACATTTATGTTTGGATGAGGCTTATGTATATTTCTTACTACAGGTCATGAGCAAAAAAGTTTAAAAGCCATTAATTTAGAATTCATTCATTCAGAATCAAAAAGTTCTTTAAAAAGGCATCAAAAGGCTCATTCTCACAACAGGAAGTCCCAGGGATCAATGCCAGGAACTGAAAACCAGCCCCATCTCCTGTTACCCTGGAGCTGACTCTGCTGATGAGGAACAATGCCCGGGAACCAGGGGAACCCCAGCCTTTTCCACCCTGCAGGAGCAGGGCCATGAGTAGGAAGCAGATCTAATAATAGATCATTTCAAACTATCAAATAGAAACACTGCTATCACTTGGGCAGAAACAAGCCAGGCTGACCTTGTCTTTGCTCACTGCTTTGGCTACCCCTGGGCTTCCCAGGGCTTTGCTGGGAATCTTGGCCTGGCAGGAGCAGTCGGCAAAACCAGCTCTTGCCTACTGGAACTCCACTGTCAGCCTGCCCTGGAAGAGAGGCTGCAGATTCCAGGAAGCCTCCCCCCCTTCCAGGTAGGACAAAGACCACTTTGACCCTCCTTTTCTCCATGTCCAGGCTGACAACAGCTTGGCTAAAGTGGCTGACCCAGGTCAGGGAAGGAGCTACTGGGGTCTGCGCACAGGTAGAAAGGAGAAGTTGATGCCTCATCTTGGGTCATTCAGCAGAAGTGCTCATTCTAGAGTACAGCGCAGCTTCAAGTTGAGCAGGTAATTTCGCTTTGGTATTTTAGGGCACTGTGTAAAGATGGCAGTAGTAATTCATGTATCCAGGGACAGAAGTATACAAAACTGTCTGAAGTTAGGGTTGACAACACCCCTTTGTGGATATCAGACACAAAATCTTGCGCTGCTGTTTACATAGCAGGCATACAAAAGCAGCTGCCCCTGGTAGTTTCTCACATTCTCCTACACATCAAATCCCTCCTCAGAGTAAACAGCAAAGCAGACTTTTAATCCTTCCCTCCCTGCTAGTGAAATGCAACAAAAAGGGAAGCCTCTCTTGGGGACAGGAGATAAGAACTGAGGATGAGGGTCACAGGAGAGAGGAAAAAAAGGGTCAACTCGACACAGAACAATGATAAAAAAAAAATGTAGGTGGGAGGCGCCCAGGGTGGAAAGCTCAGAAGCAGGGCCAGAGATCCCAGACCTGAGGAAGAATGCTGTTAGGAAGCAGCCAAAGCCTGCTGTTGCACTTCCAGGGGTTCATGCCCTTCATTCTCCTGGTTCACAAGCTTCAGCTGTTCTAGTCACAGTGTATCTTCCCCATATCTTTATTATGAGAAATAATAAAACACGATTTAGTTAGCATGCCATCCACCTGATGCCTCCAGATGCTATTACTCTTACACCCTCACTCATGCCCACATGGCTCTTATCCAGCTGAAATCTAGTCCTCACCCCCAGGAATATGAGCAGCAGCATAAGTGATTTTTGGTTCTGTGGACCTAATACTATAAAGAGCATTAGAGAGTATTTCAACATAGGCAGGTGGCTACACATGGCCCTCTTAGGGGAAACCATCACACCCAGTCCCTTGCTATGCAGGATGGGCAGGACTGTCTCCACCTGCCAGCCTGAGAGGAATATGGACAGTCGGGCTCTGGCTATACCTACTAAGCAGAGTTGCATCTGACAAGATCTCTTTTTTCTTTCTTTTTTATTTTATTTTATTTTCTCCAGTAATGGGTATAAACAAGCATCTGACAAGATCTTTAAGTGATTCCAACACACAGAAAAGTTGAGAAGCTCTGACCTCTTTTGATCCAGGTCACAGTTTTGCTGATCCTCTGATACCTCTATTCAGAAAATAAATGATCAGATCCTTAGAAGACCAATCTTTGCCACTGGCAATCACAGGGAAGCTGACACACTCATTATCCATTCTTTTCAGTGTGGCTGAAAAGACTGGCAGAGCTTACTTAATGCTCATGAAATCATCACTGCATCTTGCCTCAGGCGAAAAGATTATTGACAGATTTAGCAGTAAGAGACCAAAAGATGCTGGAGAGTGAGGTGAGGGGTATGTTCATGCTTGTAAATCAAGATCTAAACTTTATATCAAATCTGCCACATATCATTGTTGAAACTGGCAGCTCATGCCTGTGATCCCAGGACTTTGGGAGGCTGAGGTGGATGGATCACCTGATGTCAGGAGTTTGAGACCAGCCTGGCCAACATGGTGAAACCTCATCTCTATTAAAAATACAAAAATTAGCCAGGCGTGGTGGCATCTACACTTGTAATCTCAGCTACTCAGGAGGCTGAGGCAGGAGAATCGCTAGAACCTGGGAGGCAGAGATTACAGTGAGCTGAGATCACATTACTGGACTCCAGCCTGGGCAACAGAGCAAGACTCCACCTCAAAACAAAACAAAACAAAACAAAACAAAACAAAACAAAACAACAACAACAAAAAGAATGTGAGACTGTGGACGGTGTGTTTGGAAATCACTTTTTTTTTTTTTTTTTTTGAGATGGAGTCTCGCTCTGCCACCCAGGCTGGAGTGCAATGGCACAATTTTGACTCACTGCAACCTCCACCTCCCAGGTTCAAGCGATTCTCCTGTCTCAGCTTCCCGATTAGCTGGGATTACAGGCACGTGCCATCATGCCCAGCTATCTATTTATTTTTTAAGTAGAGATGGGGTTTCACCAGGTTGGCCCAGCTGGTCTCAAACTCCTGGCCTCAAGTGATCCGCCCAACTCTTCCTCCCAAAATGCTGGGATTACAGGCGTGAGCCACTGTGCCTAGCCTGGAAATCACTTTCATAAACAACCTGGATATGAGACTCTCAGGATCCATTTCCTGAAAATGCACTGCTCCCCTGAGATGACATACACCTGACCACAGTGCTGCTGCCCAACTGCAGAGGACCCAGCCACGCTGGAATGGGCTCCTCCGATGCTGCATGGAGGGGCTGACAAGAGTAGACACCCAGAATCAGAGGGTGCTGAACTGATGGTCAGATAAAAACAGATCATCCTTTATTTCCTCTTTTTGCTTATTCTTGGATTACAATTTTTGGTTCAGTTAATCAAGTATGAAACAAACCTTAGGAGAGTCCATCATTTCACAGAAACGTTTATGAGCAAGAAATTAATCAATGGTACACTCCTCACCATTCTGACCCAAAAGCATGCCTACTCTCCACCCACCCTGGTTCATTAGTTTCTTCATGTATGACAACGCAAGGTGACCTTTGGAAGCAAAAGTACAGCTAAGGTGGTGTAACTCAGACTCTAACACAGTAAGTTGAAATGTGACTTCCCTCTCATCGTTTTTGAGTTGTGTTTTCAGCCTTGATCCACAGCCCAAATTCTGGGTTCCAGTTATGTGGCCCACCCAGGAGGAACTTGTAGTGTTGGCCATATTAGGAGATTGTCTGTAGCTTTTTTTGGGGGTGAGGGTCCACCCCGGGAAGGCAGGACTGAAGGTCTACCCAAGCGGAACCACCATGCCTCTCCCTTCCCTAGGAGGCCTTGAGTGATTTGCCAGGCTCCCTAAGCTGTGCTCTACTCAGGCTCAGCAACTGCTCCATGTCACCATGTGAAGGCTGGAAACCCTGATGAACACAGAGGGGACACAGCTGCTCATGCTTCAATAGATTTGTCTTTCACAACTCTAAGCCCAGTGGAAACTGTTTCTACTTGCCACTGTTTTCCCAACTGAACTGCACGTGCTAAAAAGACACATCATTTATCTGTGGCAGTTATGAACTGAACTGTGTCTCCCTCAAATGCATATGTGAAGCCCTCAACTCTGGCACCTTGGACGATGACTGTTTTTGGAGACAGAGCCTTTAAAGAGTCTGATTATATTAAATGAGGCTGCTGGGGTGGGTGCTATTCCAATCTAACTGACAACCTTCTAAGGACAGAGAGAGACACCAGAGGAGTGCACAGAAGAGAAAAGACCATGCAAGGACATAGCAAGAAGACAGCCACCTGTGAGCCAAGGAGAGGGGCCTCACCAGAAACGAAACCTGCTGACAGCTTGATCTCAGACCTCTAGCTCCAAAACTGTAAGAAAACTGATGGCATATTTAAGCCCTTAGTCTGGTATTTTGCTATGGCAGCTGAGCTGACCAAGACAGTGGCCCCTGATGACTATCCAGCAGTAGACGGCAGTGGATCAGAGAAGTTCCCGCCCCTTCGTGCATACACTGTGCCCTCCGATCTTCACATGTGTTGGAGATATTAAGTCCTGATTCTGGGGGACAGATGGAAAGCAGGCTGTAGAGACTGGGACTAAGTCCCAGAAAACCAAGCGTGCCACCAATTTATTTTCCATCCAGAAGAGCACATGGCTTCCTGGAAGCAGCTGCCCCTAAATACACGTTTACTTTGGGGGGAATGATAATCTTGTAGTTATATCAGTTACTCTGCTCTTCACCAATGTTTATATCAAAGGATCCCACTCTACAAAAATGCCAAGTTGGAGAGTTACGTTTGTTAAATTTAATAACAAGAAGTGAAGCAACCAGACTTTAGAATAAAACTACACACACGATGTAGTGCTTGTAGCATGAAGACAACTTGGAGTTTAACCCACTGATGAATTTCAACAGAAGTTGGACTCTGAACTGATAAAAAGAGGTTTCCCGGGCCAGGCACAGTGGCTCACGCCTGTAATCCCAGCACTTTGGGAGGCCGAGGAGGGCGGATCACGAGGTCAAGAGATCGAGACCATCCTCGCCATGATGAAACCCCTCTCTACTAAAAATACAAAAATTAGCTGGGTGTGGTGGCCTGTAGTTGCAGCTACTCGGGAGGCTGACGTGGAAGAATCGCCTGAACCCAGGAGGTGGAGGTTGCAGTGAGCCGAGATTGTGCCACTGCACTCCAGCCTGGCGACAGAGCAAGACTCCATCTCAAAAAAAAAAAAAAAAAAAAA